AATACTTCAAATTCCATAGATTGTATAAGGACAGGCAAGGACATTACATTGACCAATCATAGTGTAGATAGTCAATATAGTAGTCAAATTTCCGACTGACCTTCTAAATGTATATAATCTTTCCTAAGTTCGGCTTTTCTTTTTGATGTGTATCTACATAATCCGGACATTTATAATGACATAGCAAAAAGAAATACAACAAAGTTTATTTTTATAAAGATTTGTTACATCATAATATAATATCCTTCGAGGTATATGGAGTACGTTTTCAAATCGTGTGTACACTTTATTCAAGAAAAATGGCGCCAACATTGCCGCAAAGAAAAAAATATAAATTTAAAAAAATCACGAAAAAAAATCTTAATTTTTAATGCAAATTTTGCCTTGTATACATTTAGTGATATGGAAAATATCATACTTATCAGGATTTTTGATATAAAAAAATTCAAATTAAAAACTTTTTTAGGCCAACTATTTAAAAAAAATTGAATATGAAACAGTCCAATCATTTGTAATTTTGTGTTTCTTCACGTAACTTATTTAGAGGTTAATACTTGTTTGCTGCTCGCCATTATGCGATAATGGCTCGATGATGTAAAAAATGGTCTGAGGGCCGCAGGCCATGGATCCGAGGGTCATAAATGTGTGTTTATAGGAAGAAGAAGAAGAAGAAGAATTTATTTTCAACTTGTACACAACATATGGTACATCGTTGTACAATATACATTTACAAAATACATGGCATATGGTCACTATGATTGACAATGTTAACATTCTGTATCAGCAATCAATAATGTTTAAGTATAAAGATTAAATAAGTATGTGTATGTTCTTAAGACATTACCTTAGAAAATATGTACTTAAGTATTCATCTTAGAAAAGGAAAAGTCAAATTTGAAAATTAACCTAAGTAAAGTGAACAAATACTTTCTATCAATTGAACAAACATACAAGTTAGAATAAAATTAACACCTGTTCTAGAAGTATTTTTTTTAAACTGATTACATCAAATATTATTTTTGGCAGTAAAGAAAAACAATTTATAAAAAGTACTATTGGAGAACGAACGGAATATCATATAGTCGTTGATAATATGGACATGTCCTCAGCATCTGTTTCAATCAATAGCTATACATGATTAAGTAAAGTAGACATTATGCATCTGTATGCCATAAAAATATTACTTTTGGTGTTTATTGAGAAAAAGACAACAATCTACAGGAAAGTACTATTGTAGCATCGACCACAGATATATGTTTAATACGTTGATGTCGTTTCAGGCCGTTACAAAAAAACACAACTAATTATAGTTTGATATTGCTTATCACTTTAGAAACGTATATATTCAAACTTTAAAATAAAACTGCATTATTACTGTATTGTATAAAGCAGCTCTGTGCGAATACGACTCGCTTGGTAAATATATTTCGCCAGGTTTCTGGTGATAACTTTATTTTTAGCAGATACTAATTGTATGAATTTGTGCATATTTGGGCGCCTGTAAAAATATTGTTTAATGTATTTATGACGCAAGGTTTCATAGGCTTTGCAAATTATAGTGAAGTGGTATTCATCCTCAATTTCTTGAGAATCACAGAGCTGACAAACTCGCTCGGACCGTTCTATGCGATTTCGACCGTGTCTACCAGTTTCAATGCGCAGCCTATGTGCCGATACGCGTATTCTTGTCAAAGACTGACGTAAATACTTAGAGTTTATTACATTCAGATAGTCACTCGTGACGAACTCATCTTTAAGGTATACATATAAAGTGTTCAGAACATTATTTGCTTGCAAATCAGCTCGCCAGCTCTGTACGTAACAGTCAAATAGCCGTTGTCTAAATAAAGGTAAGAAGAGTTTGGCATCTACGTTATCTACGTGTGTTTATAGGCAACAGCAAGTTAAACAACACCGCAAGCATATATAGGTACATGTTCATAACGAGAATAACTCATAACGGTACATTGTTATCGGCAGTGACCCGTGTCACGATAATATATTGTAGCAATGATCAATATCGCGATACATACCGTTTTGGTAGTGATCCCCTATCGTGATATATTTCGTATTGGCAGCGATACAGCGATACACGATACAAATATTGTATTGTCAGACATAAAATTGTATCTGAGGCATTTCGATAAGGATGAAATTACCCTTACATAAGAGTAAAATAATTATATCAAGTATTTAAAAGCATTTATTATAAGTTTTAGCAAGATATCAAAATCAAAGTTGAATGTCTGTAACACTGTGCTTTCTGTAAACCCGAAAACGTTTCAGCGTTTAATGATCTACATCTGATCGTCCGTTCGTTCGTTAGCAATGTTGTGCCCGTTCTTTAATTTTTGAACCGATGAGAAGAATTCAAAACCACTTGGTCTTGGAAAAAATAACATTTTTATTATATTTAATAAAGACCGCACAACGAAGATAAAAGAGGCGTATACTTTAATCAGATTGTCCCGTACGATTTTCCTTGTCAAGAACATTGAGGCATCAACTTGAAAATTAAATGGTGAACACATCTGAAAAAGTGCAATGCCTAAGAACCATTGGGTTGTAATTTTTCATACTTTATTTTTGTACGCAGCTTAAAGTTATTTGAGGTATCATCTTGAAACTTCCTAAATTGATAGATTGTATGCAGAAATGAAATCATTGTTGTCTTAATTCATTTTCGTCCAGAGAATAACCAGTATCAACTATAATAATCTACTGACAAAGTGTTGTGACCGACGGGGGGCGTTGAGGGACAGGCGGGGTCTATACAGTTCTATGAGATTCCATAACTGGAAAATTAAATTTGATTACTCAAGCAGATTTGTAAAAGTGTGTGTATTGCCCCGCCTTTGCGATCTAGATAAATCTGAACATCCTATTCTACATGCAACTTCAGATCGATTCGAGTTGACAACATGTTAAAGCTACAGAATTTTGTAATCCAGCTAGATTATCTCCATGAATGTACACAACATGATACACAGTCGATGATCATGACCTTGCCAGATGACTTCTTGTAACTAACGTTATATGGAAATGATAAAAAATGTCTTTGATGTATTCGTTAGATTTGCGCCATTAATTTTACGTGGTGTCATACAGATGGTAGTTGATTTAAGATTATTGTTAAATAGATAATATTGTCCGAGTTTGTTATGGGCTCATTATAGGCCTAAATGTCAATTAGTTAGTCTTTGAAAATAAGATGTGTATCTTTTATTATCTCGATTTCTTTCAAAACTTAATTGATGAATAGTTGATAAGTTTATGATAATTGATGTTTTCGGAATGTTATGATAATGGGTTGATATCTCGTTTAAGATCATCAGCTGGTTTGTTATCTTGAATTCAAAATAAATGTGAGAATATACTATAGTATATATATCAGTGTTATGTCTGTTTCATAAGCGTTCAGGTCACTTTGAAATAGATTCGAAGATGTCATTAGAAATTTAAGAAATACCAGTAGTACAGTAAAAAACTCTGCAAACAGGGTCATTCATGGTCCATTATGATGCATTTGTACATTGACCGTTTAATTTTTACTGTTTTTTTGGTGTGCTTCTTTTCGCATCTGCAAATGGGTGATACAAATCGAGCAATGGAGAAAGTAGAGAAAGCAGAACCCCTAAAGAAAACCCAACACGGCAAAATTGAAAATGTTGCAGGCTCGGTTTGACTGAGCCTGTTCATGGACAATCTGGAAAGTGCAAGTTACCGTCCACGCCCCTAGCACCGGCTTAAGCAGATTTCAACATTTAAACACGAAAATGTTTTTTTTTTAATTTAGAAACATCCGCAGATGTGTTCATACGGCGGTTATCATGGAACCTTAAATGTGACTCAGTAGTGTCATTTCATGAAAAGCGGCTCGCAGCGGTTGCAAAAACAGCAAATAGTTGAAAATCTCACTCTCAATTTCATCAGTCTGTTTGTGAGAGATAATGGAATGTTCAACTTTTCTCCTGCCCCCTAGCACCGTCTTAAATAGTAATTCTTAACTCATGTTCGCAAATAACCAGATAAATATAACAATACTTAAACACATAACTTGCAAGTCATTTCAAAGAACATATCATAAATACATCATCTTTGCGTTTTGGTCTATGTACGAAACCTTAAGATGTATTTCAAAATATTAAAATCAATATTAAATCAAGTAATAATATATCAGACAAAGTTTGATGAAACTTGGGATTGACTGAGTTATTAGAATGCAACAGTAGTTATTTTTCTTCATTTTTTTTTTGTTGTTGCAATTTCAAGAAACATAACTGGAGTGTGACAGTTAATAATCGCAATCGGTTTTACACACCACACAAGTCATTGCAATCTTGTTTGGTGCAGAAAAAAACAACAAAAAACAACATAGTCTGGATGCAAACTATCTGTTTATAAAAACATTGCAACCGTGTTTGCAGTAATACATTTGATATATATAACAGTTCACTAAATGGATCCAGTAATTACTTCAAGCTTAAATAGTTATTTTTTATCAATACTCGCATCACATATGACAAGGTTCATAAGTCTGGTACCTAGAAACTTGAAGTTTTGTGTGAATAAAAAATCACTTTTACTTTAGTGGTTCTTTTATATTCTGCATTACTTCAGGGATTTACTTCACACTTTATGTTCCTTATCACTCACGTCTAATATAAATAACAACGTTACTTCCCCATTTGGTATTAGTGTTGTTGATTGAATAGTGTATTAGTTTTACTTGGTAATATTTCCTAGAAAGAAACTCTAGTTATCATTCATCATCTTCGCATATAAAATAAATCATAACTATGGCACCTGTAAGAATTTTCATTCTTAATTTTAAATTGTATATATAAATATTTATATAGTTATCCATAGTTGGCCATTAAAGAATCACCAGGACTCTGTCATGAGTGAAAAGTTTGATTCAACTCGACAAAGCACAGATACATCCATGACTTACTGAAGTTATTAAGATAAACAAACCAAAACAAACTAAAAACGTCATGTAGTAATTTGTATTGTTTTATTTTTTGTACATAATAAACTAGCACACAATAAATAAATGACATAACATACAATCAAGCAAATCTAAACTAACATGCTGGCCACATTAAATGTTGCCCTCTACACATGCTATTATACAGATATATCATTATGTAAGCAAGATAAATTAATTCACAGCGAAAATCTTAAGGCTCTTGTAATATATTTGATAAGCAATTTAGGTTATTGCATACCTTGAAAATAACTTATAAACTCCAACATTTTACCACGGTTATTACTCATTTTACATTTATTTATAAGAAGGAAGTATTCAAATTAGGAAGAATCAGAACAAAACAAGAGCACCGCATCTGGTGTTACAACTCATCTGTTAAAAATTCTCAAGTTAATAAGGGCATAACTCAAAAAATATTTCTTTCAGAATTAAAAGAAAGAATTATGTGTCCTGTGTAACAATTGAACAATGTCATGATGAGTAAGTATTCCAAGTTTCATGTTTATAATTTTTGAAATGTTTAAAAAATGGGCTACATTAAAGTATTTGCACAACAACGATGCCTCAGCGATCATTACCGCTGAAGTTCTTTCTTTGAAACAGAAGAGCTCACTGTAGTCTCTCTTTTTATCGCACAAAAATATTACCTATAAAATATATATTGTCATCAATTGTTGTTGATAAAACTAACAGATGATTATTTGTGTAATCTTGGCAAAAATATGTCTTACTTTAAGATTTATATAACAAACTTTTAACAGAAAATTGTACAAGTCAAGAGAATTAAAATGGCACATGACAAATTTTGGCTGCGTATCAAGGATATGACATAACACATTTAGTGAAATCATTTTAACACAAGTAAACAAAAAGAAAAAACAAGGCCATATAGTCATTAACGAGGTCTCTAGTTTAAGGCGAAAATTGTTACAAAACCATGGCAAAATCATTAATTGTTTCTCAAAATGAAGGCACGTTTTGGCAACAATATCATTTGTGTTACATTTTTTTGCACTGATATGTATTTTGTTTACTGTTAGGAACACTTTGTGCCCATTTGCAGTTTGTTTCTAGGCAAATGAAGCCTTGGTGTTCTTATTTTTTAGCATTAATGAAAGTATAGGTCCTCTTGTTAAATATTTTACAGCTTTGATTGTAATTGCTGAATTACAAAATCAAGAACTCAAAAGTCACACATAAAATGTTCTTGGAAAAAACATGAAAATACTTCTTTACTTCCAAACTTAACTTGTATATATTGAAACCCTATGGAAATATAACTTTTTTGGAGAATGATTCATGTGAAAATATAAACATCCAAAAAATTAAAAATGCAAAAAAAATCAATTTTGCTATCCATGATTTTATGTTTATCTCAATATGTACTGGTGCTGATCTACTCCCTATGACAAGATAGCAATAAACGTTCAGTGAATAAAACAGTTTTATGTTAATGTTACATGTGATTTTTACATGTGATTTAAGTTTAATAGTGAAACTGCCAAAAAATACCACTTAGATTTTGCTAGTCTTAAAAAAAAAATTGTTCTCAAAGTATACTTAAAAAAAAAAACAACAACAGGCATGCATGATTCATCTTTCCAGACACATTTATAAATTATGTGGCTAATTTTTCATAGATTTACAATCTATTTAACACGTGAACGCTCTTTATTGCGAATAAAAGACATGTATTAATCACATTTACAGTGATACGGTGTATGATTACCAATACTAACTGAATTAAAAACATATAACCACACTGAATCATACGCTTTACCTATATTGCAAGATTTAATCGAGTCTTTTTGACGACGTGTTTCAAACTAATGCAGTATTAAACAGAAACTAACCAGGGTATGTGTCCAATTGTGATTCATTAGCTCACATATTAAATTACCAAATATTTTAAGTTTTATAGACAAAGAGTATGTAATCAGTATTCAATAACATAATACAAACAATTACAAAAATGTCTCCGTGTATTTCTACAACATTTAATGGAAGTGAAATAGAATATCCAATAATCAGTACATTTTAAAAACCTATTGTTTTAATTGTTTGTTATAAACATTTACAGTATTTTCTTTATATTTAATTTCTTTCAGGAATTATACTGAAGAATGTGTTCTAAAAATAAGAAAAAAGATAAACTCTGACTAAACATACAAGAATTTGTTTTGGTAATCAGTCAAACTTATCATATTTACAGACAAATTTAGGTCCGTTCTTTTTTTTTCAATGGAAAACAATAGCTAAATGCATTCATGTTACCCTTCATAAACATTATGTTCAATATAATTCTATTATGCAAGCATCTATTAAATAAGCATGTATTTTTTAAGAAAATGATAATCAAGAAGTCAGTGTTTTAAACAGGCACTGTTTTAAACAGCAGGCACATTTGATGTGTATTAATGGAATTGTACATGGTGACCAGGGTATGACTAGAGGTTCATTCATCTCTTGTTATGTTTCTTTACAAATATCAAGCGCTTTTTGATAAACTTCTTTCGCTTCGTTATAGTTAAATAAATCTTCATGTAACGCAGCTTGACCTTGCAGACGCAAGTCACGAACATCGGAACCATAATCTGTGGAAGACTTTGGCGATGTGTCACTGCAGAAACGAGATTTCAAAATTTCATCAAAACTGTCGTAAGAAAAGTCTAAAATATCAGCAGAGGAATTGGATCCCGTACTGCAGGCACTTAAACGTTTGTCAGAATCACGATTTGTATTTTTCAGAATTCCTCGTCTGCGTGGAATGACTGCAGTAGGAAGATAGTCTGCGGAGGTAAGGTTTAAACCATCTTTCTTTGTTTCAGATGGTCCAAAACTGAAAGCACCAAGCTGTAAATTATCACAAGATCTTCTGGTTTTGTCTGTTGAGTTATTATCACCAGGTAAAATATTATCTGGAGAATCAAGTGCTGAATCAGCCTCGCTGAGATCCATTGGGCGAACCGACAGGCCAACACTGTCTTTTCTGTTTAAATCATTCAGTTCACATCCACTATCACCTGCACTGAATTTACCCTTGCGCTTCAAAATTCCTCTTTTTGGCATCATGCTAGAATCAAACACCTTTTTACCACTTGTTTCATCAGCAACAACAGAAGCATCATTTGCGTCATTTAATATTTGGTTAGACTGTGATTCAGTTTCACTGAGATTACTTATTTGAGAATCAGTCTGATTGTCTGATGACTCATTGAACACAGCATCATCTGAAGGTTGACTATCACCAGCATTTTCTGTAGCATCATTCTTTGGCATCAGAGATTCATTGCACCTTTTATCAACAAAATTTTCTGTCATTTTTGGTTTTTTGAGAATACTCTTCAGAGGCTTCACAGTTTTTACTTTTCCGTTACATTCTGGTTCCCCGTCATCACTCTCTGATGAAGAGGATAAAGATTGGTTGTGGTAGCTAGGTACCGGCTGTAACACCATCGGAGGAATGTATGGCTCGTTGTCTGGCATCATGCTGTGACCTAGATTCACCCACCAGTGAGATAAGATGTCCGTTATTGTTGCTCTTTTAGCAGGATTCACTGTGAGAAGATGTCGAATCAACCCAGCCGATTCTAAAAATAGAATACAAAATAAAACTTTATTACATGCACATATTTTACTTTGCATTATGTCAAACTGTATTTTATAATGATGTCAAAATTTACTTTCATCTACTGTCACCTCTTCTGTAGTCTAACTTTAATTAATTCTCTAAATATGTCGGTCATGAGATATTCTTTATGCAGATAACTAGTTTATACTTGGATGTCTCGGATGAATAATAAAGTTGAGATAACCCTGGTGGGACCCTCATTAACTATCTACATCAAAATATGCTTTAATCTTCTCTATGAATGAGTATTACATCAGGTCTACTTTTAAAATAACACTCTCATTATAATTCAAAAGGTATGCAGTTATGTTAATGAAGCCACAGGTAATTTATTCCTGCATAAATTCGGTCATCTTAGCTACTATACTGCACAGACCAGACAATCAGGACAGCAACTCTGACGGAATAATTTCATGATGAGTAATTTAACCCTCGCGTACTTCTCACTTCAGATTTAAATTTTTTTAATAGATTTTCCCAAGATATGTCTATGATCTTATCATTTTAATGATAGTATATCAAACCAAACCCTTATCTCCACATTTGATGTTACTTCATAAATAATGAAATATTGGAAAGTTACTCAGGCATATGTTAAAATTTATATCTTAGTACTTAATAAAAAATTCATCAAATTAAAAAGAAAAAAATATGGCAGTAAGTTAAATCTTAATATGCATGAAAGTGTTTGATATGACAGTTTAAGTTACAAATGTTACAATATAAATAAACCTCATGATGTCATATAATTAACTCAATTTACATAACAGATATAGATACAGTCATATAAACATCAGTCTTGTCATCCATTGAAAATAATTCATTCTTTGAAACATTTATGTTGGTTCTCTATATAAGTAAAGAGAAATGTTTCCTGGAGCTAGCTGCCTCTCTTCCTACCCACCCCCACCCATATCCTGTTTTAAAATTTAGTTTTTTACAGTTATTTTAAATACAAACTTTAAATTGTATGGATTGAATGATTAGAAGCTTCATTAACTTATTATATATGAGCCGTGCCATGACAAAACCAACATAATGGGTTTGCGACCTGCATGGATCCAGACCAGGCTGTGCATCTGCGCAGTCTGATCAGGATCCATGCTGTTTGCTATCAGTTTCTCTACTTGTAAAAGGATTTGTAAGCGAACAGCATGGATCCTGATCAGACTGCGCGGATGCGCAGGCTGGTCTGGATCCATGCTGGTTGCAAATGCACTATGTTGGTTTTGTTGTGACACGGCTCATTATATGCAGGAACAACAGTTCAAGATAAACATGGCTGTGTCGAGTTGTTAATACAATATTTTTTTAAAAATAATTTTCTATGAACTTAATTAAAATATAAAATAGTAATGAGCAGTGGGGTCAAGGAAAGTTCAAATACGGTAGGTTTCTGGCACATTCCACTAACCTCAGTGACTCAATACAAGAATGTGTTATCTCAAACCTTACCACAAACACAAATAACTCTCTTACGCATGTAACTTATTGTAAACAATCAGCTAATACCCACCTATTTAACTGTGTTACCCAACATTAACTTAATGTGACAACATATTATGTAAATTATTTAACACCTAGCTGAAAAATCAACAATACCTCTAAATACAGTAATGAACCTATACCATGTATTTATAATGTATTGTTGTAACACTGACCCACTTATTTTGGACAATATTGACCAGATGTCATCAATAAATTCCATAATCACCTTAGAAACAGCCATTTTTATTCAATATCGAATGATTTCTTCCTCTTTCTAGAACCTCTTTCAGTTTTGAAGAGTTTTGTACTAGTTATTTGTTTAAGACTTTATTGCCATTAAGTGCATACTTGAAAATGTAACCTTACAATTTCACCTTAAGATTATCAAAGAAATGCAAGCTATCTAACAAGAGGCTTAACAAATTGACATAATGTTAAATATTTATTACTCTAAAAATGTTGATTTTAGGCATTATATAAGTTTAGACATGTTTCACCTATCTATTCAACACATGCTTCAATGCTCACAATATTTGATCTGTATTAAATGTACACCTTGTGACTCAATGTGCAAGATTAAAAATCTTAATTTAGACAAGTATAGCAGGTATCTCCCCCTACACAATCAAAACAGTCAAATTCCACAAAATATCAAATAATTATTCAAACATTCATTAAGCATTATATTCACCCACACATTTATAGGTAAAAAAACCACACTAAATTCCTAACGCATGACGGTTCTTTTGTCTTATAATCTATAATACTAATTGATTTGATAATTGATCAATATGCAAAATGCTATAAAAAATGCTCTTGAGACCAATGTTATACAGATAATGAGGCCAATGTATATAACAAATTTGTTATCACTTCTTTAACCCTCACCTCACTAAATACCTTAAATGGACTTGCCCATCTTTCAATCTGGACAAAACCATTTATAATTTTTAGGGAATTTCTAAATACAATATATGTAATGACTGAAAGGCACAAGTGTGCTGGCTGATCTTGGTCTGTACTGGTGGCATGGGTAGAATCAGTCATCAGCCTTCTTTACATAAAAACTTCTTTAAATTAGAAGTATATCTGATTTTTTTTTTTTAATGAATAAAACGAGGTAAATTACCTGATGGTTTATCTGGTTCGTAATAGTCGCCTGTTGTAATCTGTGTTCGTAGTTTCTTAAAATTAGTGCCGTCAAACGGCATCGTACCATAGACAAGAGTGTACAAAACAACACCTAGACTCCAACAGTCAACCTGAAAATAAATATGTCACATTTAATTATTACATCAAAATATCACAAGTTGGTCAATTATGTAATATCTGTTATAAAAAAATCATTTGAATATAACATCAAAGAACACTATCCCCATCCCAACAAAAAGCCTGTCTTTGGATTTTTAGTTCATGACTGACACCCTGGTAGTTTTTGAAATCCCAAATCAATAGAAATTTGCCATAAATTTATAATATATGTCGAAATAAGAGGAAAAAAACATGTTAACACCAGAGCTGGTTTAGGTAATTTATTTTCTACCAGTTTCGGTTCTATCGCGCCTTCCTCAGGATGTTATATATGTATGATGTAAGTATAGTATTGTGTTATATTATCTGAAACTCTGGATACTAAACTAGAGACAGGAATTCTGGGTTTATAAGAAATTGGTACGGGAGGAAGAAACAATAAACTTTATATAAAGAAAAAATTTGAAAAAAAAGAATAATCTTCCTGCTATATGATATTAATATTAGCTGTTGCTAGGATTCCATAGTATCTTTGTATAACATTAACAGCATATAAAACGTCCTTGTTTCAATAATAATATCCTGAATAAATGATCATTTTGTTTACTTTGACGAAGCGAAGATTTTCTATAATTATACCCCAGACGTCATGCATATTTACACTCTCATTTCGTTCTTTGGATTTATTATTACTGTTTTCTAGTTTTTAAATCCCTTTATCTTGGCTTAGGTTAAGATTTTTTTGAAATGGATAAATTGAAAACAAATAGTAGAGAAAAAAAACACAGCATTTTATTCTATCATATAAGCTGCTTGGATACACAGCTATTCCCCCTTTAGAAACTTTAATTTTATGTGTGTTTCTTTTGAAATTACTGTCCAAACATTCACTTAACAAACATTAAAAGATATAAACTAGTGTGTCAAATGATGATGTTCCCATTAAACATTGCCTTTGCTTTCTTCTTATATCTTTAGGCCAAATAAATAAATTGTTTTTTTTTTCTGTGCTTTAACCTGACCTTAAATTTTATAATCAACTAAAACCTATCAAATTTAAAATATTTCCAGTAGCATACAAATCTCCCCCTTTTGTTATAAAAAAAAAGGAATCAGCTATCAATCCAGTGTCTAGCATATCATGTAATAGAAGATAGATTTTTGGCCTTAAATTTACATTGCAACATCCCCCAACCAATATATCAAAATATAAATCAGCCCAGTTCTGAATTTCTTGTGTTCCAGACATTGAAGTATCATCACATGAGTATCATCTGAAAGACAATTTGCTGACTAATCAAAATTTGATTTTTTATTTATTCAACCCTTCCTCTCACATGCACATCAATCATAGATTACAGCTTTAATATATTTCATATAACAAAGAACATCTTTATCTGTTGACAAGTGTATCATTGTACATTATCTAAGTCTATTTAACCTTGATCCATGTTTCAAACATATCTATATAATAATGTTTGTTGTCAATATTCTAGCTACATCTATGTCTTAACTTACCAAACTAACTTTTAATGTCTTAAATGTAGACTATATTTCAGACTAAAACATTTATTGTATTCATGTAAATACAAAAGCATGATATCTATTTATAACTCTACAGTATAGTAACGGGTTGTTAATCAAGGCCATAAACTTATTAAAACATTCAAAACTTTAGCTCTTAATTTGTCTATGTAAGATTATCTATGTAAGTGTTTTCAGGCCTGGTTCTAACTCAAATTATTTTTCTCACAATCATTGGTCATACTAATTCAACAATCTTTTATTTACAGTAAACAATTTTGGTAAACAGATTTATATTAACCCCTTGTACATTGTACTTTCTTTTTGTCATGAAAGAAATTTATCATGACATCCAATTAACAGGAAGTTGTTAATACAGAATCACTTAGCACTTATTTGTTTATTTTTGGTGTTTGGTCAATTATAAAATAAGTTGCAAAAATAACAATCAAATAAAGAATCAATCAAGTGCATATGTAATAAATATTCTGTCACACATTGACATATTTTCTCAAGTACCTGGTGTTTATAATTAACCACACTTAAATACTATGGCACAATATGTACAAATATGGGGGATAATGCAACCCTAATCTGATATCAGATTTGCAGTAGAGTGTGAAATTTAGAAATATGAAAACATCCTATTTTCTAAATATAGAGATATTTATATCAATCTGAATCTGTTAAGCTTAATCTTTCACAAGATTTCAGACTTACTTAACATATTCATCTGGATATTTTACTATAAAAAAACAACAAACATCCCAATCCTTTCCAACTTCCCAAAGAATGCAACTAGTTTCATTTAACTTGAATGTCATAATAAGGGGGAAGAACAGTGAGACCTCACTTCTCCTCAACATCTGTCCATGTGTTATTTTAATATCTAAAACAAGACAGTACTTATATAATAAATATACTGCTATTAAGTGTTTCTCATAGTTCTATATTAATGTTTGCTTCAACATATGACCAAAATAATCCATACAAATTTATATAAATAAATGAGGGGAGAGGATAATTCACTTTAAACATTATTTTGATCAAATCTTCAGAAAAAAAAGGATGCACCATGCTAAAGATTTGAACTTAATACCTTAGTGAAACCAGCAGGTTTAATATCTCCTTAGTGTTACATGTTCAAAATAGTTGCATTAATTAGTGATGCATCATGTACATTATAACCTTACAAACCAAAACCCACAAAGAACAACAACACTAACATAAATCAAACAGAACTTGAAGTTTGAAAAGGTACGCTTGTTTAAAAAGTGTAATTTTTTGTCTACATTTCTAGAGACTGGACTATTTGCAAACAATTGCATACGTGAGTGCACTGCCAAATTTTGTTATCAAATGCATGAATCATATATTTGTATTCAAGTACAGCCCTGAGCATGAGGATTGTTCGTGTTGTTTTTTTTAAATTTTATTTTTTACAATTTGAATAAGTATAAAAATTGTTAACAATAATAAAATATAAAAAATGAAGACCTTAAACCTCAAAACACAAAAAAAATGATAACCAGTATAATAATTAAAGTTATAATATACTCATATAATTATACATGTTATCACTCTATGATTTACTAAATTCAAGATATATTACAGCATGGTTGGTAAATGGTTAAAACTGTTGGGTTATTTTCCCAAAATTTACTATTGAAAATCACAATATTGCAGTAATTTTTCTTGGTATTTGATAGCATTAAATAAAGGTGGATTTGCTGACAATGGTAAGATTACAGTATTGTAATATTATAATAACATGTACCATCATAAACAGATGTTGAACAATTTCCCCCAACATGCTTTATATCCATACAATAAAAAAAGACAATTTGGTGATTAAATATTCTTATGACAAGACAAATTTGCAATTTTTCAGATTTAAGATGCAAAATATGGAGTGATGGTTAATAAAACTGACATAAAAACTATCATTTTTTTATGAAATAAGCCCGAAGCTTGCTGTAAATACTTGATTCAATGACAGGATAAAATTCCTGCACTTTGTTTAATGATTTAATAACAAAATAACAAAATTAAATCGAGAGGATGGGGGGAAAAATGTCACCATTAAATCAAGCAGAATTTAAACTCTCTCATTACACAATTATGTAATAAAAACAAGGGAACACGTAAATTTAACATTTGAACAATGACAGTGTATTAACAAGAAAAATAAAGAAAATTGGGACATTTTTACTAATATCTAGTTTTCATAGTTGTGACTTTTTGTCAGAGGAAATGTTATGTGTAATGCCTCATTAACAGTATACACAGTAGCTAGCAAATAATAGAAAAAAAAACAAACAACTTTTGACAACACTTTTAACTTTCTTTTTACAAAAGTCATAGAAAAATACTCGAACATTTAATTGTTATCATAGTTTTCATAACATAGCTATTACACTATAAACAGTTACAACCTGCTGACCCGGTCAAGTAGTTATCAAGGCCAAAAAGAAAAACAATATTTTTTTTATTGGATAATGTTAGTGAAAAACATACTAATGGGTCAATCATACACTGAAAGCCCTCTGATGTAAATATAACAATAAAGAATATAGACCCACTAAAATCTATATAGCAACACTACTCGCATGGTTTTATGACAGTTATGGTTCACACCGGCTCAAGAGGAACAGGTGGTTAACATTATAAATGCCTTCTGTTTCCCTATTATTGACAGTGAGATGAAGTAAACCTTCTACAAAAATATCAAATACAGGTGCCCCAGACAATGATGAGTTCTTTGTTTATATATGGACATGCATTCATAATAAAAGTCATTCTTTCATTCTTATAATTATTTTAACATTGTTTTTATTTTCAGTTGATTGAAAAATTGTGTTAAAATGACAAGGTGATTTTCCCCCATCTGCATATTGAGTGTTGCCTGTTTTTATAAGATTCACAACCCAACTACATGTACATTGACTTAAATGATGACTGTTGAAGTCATAGTATGCAATAGCTTTGTAAACCTCCCCCCACCCCACCCTTCTCACCACACCTTACTCCCCTTTTCCTAACTCTCACTGACAAAAAAATAAAGTTAATTTAAGCTTTGCTTGTTTTCTTTTTTTTTTTAAGAATAATGAAACAAATTTCTTGGTATTGTATTGCTTACCTCAGGCCCGTAGTATGGTAGACCGTTCACGATTTCTGGTGAAGCATAAAGTGGGCTTCCGCAGTATGTCTTTAACATATCAGTCTGATTGTAATAGTTGGAAAGTCCAAAATCAGCAATCTGTATGATGGGTAAAAACAATAAAAATACATTTGAGCCGCGCCATGACAAGATCAACGTAATGCGTTTGTGACCAGCATGGATCCAGACCAGCATGCGCATCCGTGCAGTCTGATCAGGATCCATGCTGTTCGCTGTCAGTTTCTCCACTTGTAATAGAGTTGGTAAGCGAACAGCATGGATCCTGATCAGACTGCGCAGATGTGCAGGCTGGTCTGGATCCATGCTGGTCGCAAACCCATTATGTTGGTTTTGTCGTGACCCGGCTCATTAACTATAAAGAAAATAGAGAAACCACAATTTTCGGACGGTGTCCAAAATCTGTATCAGGTTAAAACTATATATAACTGTGAAATATGTTATTACAATAATTTATTTATTGAAGTATAAACAGTTATAATAATATAATGACATTGCTAAAATTTTTCCTGAGTCTACAATTTTCATCCATAAAACAGACATCCATGACAATTTATTAAAATAATTGAACATTTTAAGTATTTTTATCTCATTTTTTTTTTCCAGTACATAACAATCGATAATGAACATGCATTTCAAAATCTGAAAACACAATACCATAATTATGTTTCTCCTTGTAATTTTTATTTCACTTTAAATTGTCAGATATATCTTGACTACAAACTATGGTATTAAAGCTTCAAGTCATGGCATTTATTTTAAGTTTACTTTTAGCACTAGATCTTTTAATTTTGAAAGGTGAAAAAAATGCTTAAAGTTGTTGAATATGCTTGAATTTTGACATGAAAATCTTCTTGGTGACAGCATGATGACATATACACTATAAATACATATAAATATAAATACACTAGCTTACCTTGGCATTATTATCTCTATCTAACAGTATATTTTCTAGCTTCAAATCTCTGTGTACAATACCATTCTAAAATAACAAAAAACAACAACATTATAACATAATTAAACTACTGAATTCAAATAATTTAATACATTCAACACAATCCTTAATAGTCAATCTTTAAATTAACAGGGGACTATCAAAAAAGCAAAAGAACAAATTGATTAAGGCATTGTATTGTTACCTTTTTGTTTTAATGTATATTCGTGCATAAAAACTGCGCAAGCAGGTATACATTTACATGCATTAACAGATATATTCTCGCAAACACGTGCCGTTGCGGCATGTTTTTAATATGCATGACTCGGGGTGCAATGTAAAAACAGCTTAATGCAATGACACCCCTGATAGTTTTGTTAATATTAATATATATACATGTATAATAAATGGAAAGTTTTGATGCATATGATGAATCAATATTTCTAATATCATTAAATTTGAGCGTGTACGGTATGTACCTGATGACAATGTTTTATAGCAGAGACTATCTGACGGAACACTCTACGTGCGTCTTTCTCTGTCAGCTGATTGTTGTTAATGTAGTCATACAGTTCACCTCCGTCTGCACATTCCATCACCAATATTATCTTATCCTTGTTCTCAAACACTGAAATTATACAAGTAAATCATGATGACATTTAGAAACTTCTTTAGGGGAAGACATTCAATCATGTGCTATTGAGGGGGAAGACATTCAAAAATTACTGAAGGGTGATAAAATGATGGGAGACATTCAAGCAAGTTCTACTAAAGGCAAGACATTCAAATATCACCTTAATTGAAGGACAGACATTCAAATATGATAAAAATTGAAGGAAAGGTATTCAAGCATGTACATGTATTATACTGAAAATCTATTTAATTTGAAACAAGAGCGATCAGTAATCACATGTGTCGCCTCATGATGGCCAATTTCATGTTGGGACAAATTTTGTGACAGACGAACAGACAGACGGACAGTGCACAACTAGACTAACAAACTTTGTACTGATCATTCCTGTAAAGTTTGGATAAAATTGCACCAGTAGTTTATGAGGAGTAGCCGGACAAGCTTTTGCGTATCTGGCAACACACAGAAAAAAACACCTTTTTATCAAAGGGCCATAACTCGGCCAAAAATCATTCAACCGGAAAACCCGTGCAATATGCGCAAGGACTTGAGCTACAGATCAATCCTGTAAAGTTTCATTGAAATTGCATTAGTGGTATAAGAGAAGTAGTCTGGACAAACTTTAAAAATAAAATTTTTTAAAGGGCCATAACTCAAACAAAAATCATTGAACCGGAAAATGCTGACAATATGCCACAACTAGACTTGGTACTGATCATTCGTGTAAAGTTTGGATGAAATTGCCACAGTATAGTTTATGAGGAGTAGTCCGGACAAGCTTTTGTGTATATGGCAACACACAGAAAAAGAAACCTTTTTATCAAAGGGCCATAACTCGGCCAAAAATCATTCAACCGCGAAAAACCCGTGCAATATGCGCAAGGACTTGAGCTACAGATCAATCCTGTAAAGTTTCATTGAAATTGCATTAGTGGTATAAGAGAAGTAGTCCGGACAAACTTTAAAATTAAAAATTATTTAAAGGGCCATAACTCTGACAAAAATCATTGAACCGGAAAATCCTGACAATATGCACAACTAGACTTGGTACTGATCATTCCTGTAAAGTTTGGATGAAATTGCACCAGTTAGTTTATGAGGAGTAGTCCGGACAAGTTTTGTGACGGACGGACGGACAGACGGACAGACAGACAGACAGACAGACAGACGGACAGACGGACAGACGGACAGACAGACGACGGAGAAGTGATCCCTATATGTCGCCACTACTCCGTAGAGGCGACACAAAAAATCTTCTTTTCTTAAAAATTAATTTTGAATTTCTGCAACAGAAATTTCTTGTCAGAGATTTATCAAGCAGTTGACATTTAGAGGTAATATTACTGGTATGGCAACTATTGCTAACAGAAGAAACATTTTCTGCATTCAATTGTATAATAATTTTTATTAAAGTGCTAATTTAAAAAATTAAAGCTTCTTTCGCTTTTTTGCAAAAGTTACAAGGCCTTCCACCTAAAGAATTGACCTAGAAAAATGCCAAATTTACTTGTACTGAATGTTTATGTGATATAGTATGTAACAGGATTAGGTGTACTATTTGACCATCTTAGTATGGGGTAAGTGAAACTATCGGTCAGTTGATAGGACTGCCTGGTATTTACATGATACATTATTCGATCATATTAAGAAAAGATCAGGAGGCGTTGACAAACAGCTTTTGTGATGAGACATGTGGGCAGCTCTTGGATAATGACCGAAGGCAACCAAAATTTATCTCCTTTTTATCTTTATAATCATCAAATCTTCTTTAATCCTCCTTTTTTTCTTCTTTTGAATCATCCATTTCTTAATAAAACAGGTCATTTAACTGGCAACAAATCTAGATTAAAAGAAATGACTCAACTCGTACTGTTACTGAAAAGTTCAGTAATCTTTACGTTTCAGTTAAAAAAATATGCATTAATTCAAATATAAATATTTAACAGAGAAATTATTTTCTATCTGATGCATATATCTATTCCATGTAAGTGTAAAATATTGATGTAATAACTAATAAATTGACTTATACCAAACATTGGAAGCATTGTAACAAGAGACCAGCAATAACTTAGTGAGTAGCAATCAAAGAACACTGTGGCAGTATCCACATTTTACTGAAACCAGACTGAACACCCCCTACAACTATCTCTATAATGGTCCGACCTCTCGTTGCACAAGAGGGACACTAAACCATTTCGCCACCATAGATTGCATTTACAGTATTAGTAATTCCCATTACAGGTATATAAATAAGACTACTATGGGGAAGGGGTCAATATCCCATCTTAATTTGATGTATAAGTAAGGTAAAATTTGCAAATAGTTCCTGAACAACAGCCTGGACAATTTTGTATTAACACCCCAAAGTCAGTCTCTAGAGTGAAGGACCTCCACAAAACAAACAATTCATAAAAACAAGCCAACTTAGCATATAGCTGCAAATATGTCCGCCATTATCTGCTAAACAACCCTACACAAACACATATTTGATCTTTTACAAATGAAAAGAAAATATTTCTATCATCAGGACTGTTTACAAAGATTTTATTCAAAATCTGCTGAACAGGCAAACAAATGAATCTAATGGATCAAAATTGGCCAAAGGTATTAGAAATCACAATAAAGAAAATTGATTCTCTTCATTTTGATTTCACAAGACCTGGTTAAGCCAGTCTCCCACTGGGTGTAAATAATGAAGTTAAACAAAGCAGAAACCTTCATCACAACTAAGAAAGGAAATTAAAATTGATATCACATATTTTCATAGATCTGTTATTAAGATTTTTTCAATGTGTATCACAATAGTATGGCAGTAGCAGTTACAGCCGGAAATGTGCAATTTTCCTAACTTTTCCTAACATGGTAAACAGGCTCAAATTATTTGGTATTGAAAAACAATAACAAAAAACAAATTACCCTTTTAAACAACAAAAACAATTTGGTTTTGGACAAAAAATAAAGAAGGTACTTTAATAGGTAATGAAATATCTACCTTAATTTAACAGTCAATACTGAAAAAAGTATAAACAGCAGACAAAAAAACCTTCTCAAAGTTTATCAACTGACCTGAAAACATAACATTGTTTGTACTACTTTAGGTGCATTTTCTTTTCAAAAATATTATCTTTAATCTACATTAGTCAAAGCTGTTGATAGGCTGTCTGTTACTGTTGCCAAATCCTCGTTCAAAACCTTTTATGAAAGGCCAGAGAGAAGTATTATATCATATGCTTTTTTATGCATTTCACAAACATGTATTAATCGTCTTTATAAAGCCTATTTCCACATGATTTACCTGAATTAGTACACCAGAACAAACTGTATACATAAATACAATATACTTTATATAATAGTATAATAGAAGTTGAATCATTATCGTTAAATCCAAGTAATGCCTGCATAATCTGTGCATAATAATAATAATAAATATATGACTAATATCTTTGGTTTTAAGATATAAAATAAAGTCGCTGATCAAGCACATTTGACCTTTATAAAATATTAGATCTACCATTCCATTGCATAATTTTATGTAAATTAAAAACCCACAACTATGAGGACACCTTAGCTCAGGGGTAAAAATATTAACATCAGTTATTTCATTATACTGGAGTCCAACAGCACCTATATCATCATTGGATACAATTATTAATTTTTTCAGATGATTTGAGAAACAATACATGTACTTTTGAATTATCATACTCATTAAGTTAATTGTATATTAATATTTTATTCATATGATTTCTTCTAGTCAGATATCAACATTACATGTATTTAATGTTTGCTCACTGGTATTCCAAAAAAAAAAAAAAAACCATTTCATGCCCATCTTTTGATCTTTAAAATGCAGATCTCAGACCACAAATATTTAACTTCAAACCACTTTGCTCAAATGCAATTTCAATTTTTTTCATCCCTACATAATACATCATACAAAATTTTAAATTGCACAGTGCATTCTTTGTGCTGCTGATTCTTTACATAACTATTATGGGGAATATTTACGTAATTTAGCTTTCATTATGTGACCTTTGATATTCTGCCTGGTAATAAAATTATCCTTCAATTTTTAATGAAACTGTTGTTTGTGCAGAAGATAACAAAAAAATAAAAGCAAATATAAAGTTGTGCTATGAACATTGAAAAGGGAACAAGGGGAAACAGAGGCAATCGAACGGGGATCACCATGAGAAAATTGAGAGGGCTTTTTGTACTCTATAGTAAATGATCATGCAGTACAGTGCCAAATATACAATCTATGTAATCTTTTTTAAGCAAAATGAATCAACAGAAGTATATGGAAGTGACTCTGGCAAAGTTCCTCCTTGTAAATCACACTGCTTTTATAGTCTGCCGACATGAGAGAACGAACTATTGAAAAGTAACAATTTCTTTCCTTTTCACTAACATAAAACAATAATATCAGTTATGTGTATCAGTAACACAAAAAAAAGGTTCTATTGAGTTTCTTTTTTTACGCCCATGTTATATATGTCTCTTGATAAATCTAGTCATTTACCTAACGTTATTAATTTACATACTAAAACAAAAGACAATGAACCATAAATCCTATAATGAGATCAGCCAGCAGTAAATTTTGGCATGAAAACTTTGAAGTTGGTAATATAAGAAATTTGACTTCTAGTATTTAGAGAGAAAGACAAAGAAATCAAAAAATACTGTAATCTAATTATTCAACTTGTGTTTCTTTTAATTCTGACGTTACAATTTACCAAAAGCCTGTCTTACATTTTTCGTTCACATGCTATAAAGTTACTGTTTTATGGACTGGTACTGTTTATAGCTGATGCTCAGAAGGACTGTATAAAAATACTGTTGAGGGCACCCGAGATATTACACTTCCTATTAATTATCTCACGAGTTAAACTTTCATAATTTTTTTTTATGAATCTTCCCTGTCCAACAAAAATTCTATAAGATATATGAATAATATCAATACAAAAAGAAACTCATTATCAGTGAAAAAAAATAAGTTT